CGGCGCGCCGCCTTCCCGCGCGCCGCGGTTTGGGGGCCGGCGCCCTCTCCGCCGTCCAGGGGCTCTCTCCAGCCGGTGCCTCCGGGAGCCCAGGGCCTGGGGAGGGTCTGGCTATGCTGCGGTGGCTGCTTTTTGATGGCGGGCGTCCAGCACTTGGGGAGCCAGTTCTGTTCTCCACCTTCTTTGCCTTCCCCGGAGCCCTTGAGGCGCGGCCTGGACCTCGGGGCCGGGCGTGGGCGGCCGGGGGTCGCAGTTGCAACCCCCGCAGGCGTCGTCTCCGAGACGGGGCTCCCCGCGGCTTTGGCCTGGGGGTGGCCGTCGCTGCCACTGTTCATGCCCGCAGCGGCCAGCGCCAGGCTTTTCTCCGCTGCTCCCTTGCCAGCTTCAAGCTTTGACCTAACTGTTCCACAGCCTGCGGATCCCCCCAAAAGGCCCCGCCCCTGCCGAAGGCCCCAAGCCCCGAGGACGTCGCGGTAGATTCGAGGATCCAGCCTCTTCTTCGTGCACCCTCCCTCTGTCCTGGCCGGAGTCAGAGCCGGAGCTGACGCGGAGGGCGCCTGGGAGGGCGCGGGGCCTCGCTTAGTCCCCAAAGTCCGGTGCGGGCCGTCGTAAGAAGGTGGAGCCACGTAGGGCGGCGGCCGGTCCCAACGGCGACGCGGGGCCATCCCGGCAGCGCCTCTCAGCAGCAGGTGAGCTTCGTAGCTGGGGGGCCCTGCCCGCCGACCTCCCCAGGGCCCCGCCCACGCCGCCCCTGGGTCGCCCTGCGGCTGCGCGGACGGACGGGTGGGTCGCCCTACCAGCCCCAGGCGCTGGGGCCGGGAGAGCGCCGAGAGTCCTGCAGCGTGGGCCACCCGAGGGCCGTGCCGGGGCTCTGGGCCGGCCCAACCCGGGGGGCTCCTTCGGGCCCCACCAGCCTTGCGCCTCTTTCTCTCCGTCTCTTTGGCCTCCCGCTCCTGCGATGCCGCTTTCCTTTTCTCTTGTTCCCGGACTCGGGCCTCGGCCGGGGGCCCCACCCGCCAGTTGGTGGCCTCCTGCAGCACCCTGGAGGCCCAGGACCGGCGGGGCGGCGGCTCAGGGGATCCCGGGTGCGGCCCACACCTGGGACAACGAGCAAGAACCCAGGTGAGCAGCTGGTGAGGGAAGGGAGCAGAGGTCCGGGTTGCTGGGAGCTCTGGAGACCACCTAGGACTCCGCGTGGAGGGATCTGTGTGAGTGTGCGGGCGCGAGTGCACGTGCGGGTGTGGTGGGGCTGAGGTCGAGGCTGGACTCCTCGCCATCTCTCCACGCGCACCTCAACAGCGCCCGCCCCACCTGACCTCCTGCCCTTTCTCACGCCCCCTCCAGTCCCCCAAAACGAACGTTGAGTCTGGGCTGTTCGGTGTAAGGATGGGGAGGGGTGTGGGAAAGAGAAGGGGGACCAGCAGCGTTGGCTGATGCCTGCGGGGAGGTCCGGACCCCCCTCCCCCCTCCCCTCGCCCCTGTCACTCACGTGCGGCTCTGGGTCCCGCGGGCCCAGTGGCTGGTCTGCAAGTCCATGGGCTGTCGAGGAGAGACACGGCGACTATAATGACAGGAAATAGTCTTCACTTCGATCACCAGCAGCTTGGACTTCTGCACCCAGAGGCAGCTGCCAGACTCCTCATCCTGGAACTCCCGGGGGCTGTCGGGCCCCTCGGAGAATAGCTGGCCATCCAGCATCCTGCCCCACCCCACCCCGGCCCCCCTACACAGCTTCAAGTAGCC